CCCTCCCTACATGTACACACACGGCCCCCATCTGTAGGGTGCTCTCAGCTTTCTGCATTATAGACCAAGCATGAATCCATCAAGCTTGTCTGGCATTGCCCCAAAACCCACAAGTTGGTCGATGTGCCTCAAGCTCAGGTCCCATTAAATAATTCCACATCAGTACTCACTTTCTGTGGAAGGCATGCTTACATGGACAAATCCCCAACTCATCTCGAGGCTTGAAGTCTTCTAGACACACTGCACAGAGCTGAAAGACAAATGCACAAATGAGACCAAGTGCCTGCCAAATACTCTCCAGGCCACAAAGTAGAGTGCAGGCTCCCAAGGCCCAGCCATTTCAAGGTATTTACAATATCCCACAACTTGGTAAAGGAAGAAAGGCCCAAAGGATGAGGTCTTCTGAAGAGTTTCCTGTTCTTCCCGTCACGTGTTAAAGGCAGTGGGCAAACAGGAGGAGACAAAGCATGAGGCAGCTTCCTTTCCTTCAGTGCACGGAAGAGTGAGACTTAGGGTTACCTCTCATGTGAGGGCTTAACCTACTGTCACTTTCCTGGGTGTGCAAAGGGACTGGCTCTTAAGCACTCATTGAAGGGGCCAGATCACACCCTGGCAATCCTTTCTCCAGTTGTTATGGCACAGTCTGCAGTAACATGCTATTTACAGTTCCTGGGGCCTCCTACATTGCCACTGTCCTTCTGTCAGGGTTTGTCTTTGCCATATAAAAAGTTATTAAAATTCACTAACTTAAAACTTACGAAAATGTGCAGATGTGACAGGCTGACTAGTCTCCACTGCTTGGAAAGGGGCCTTTTCCTTCATACCCAGATGCTGGGTTTCAACACTACTTCTTGGGCATTTACCAGTGCCTATGGGCACCATGCATTGTTGCATTTATCCATTTTACAAATGAGGAAACAGAAGCTGAGAACAACAACCACACTGCTTGAGGCCATTCAGCTGGGGAGTGGCCAGGCCTGGCTGGGGACCCAGGTCTGTGGAGTGACGTGCTGCTGTTGTACAATTTCTGTCTTCCGCCCAGTGACTGAACTTCTCCCATCCTCAGGGATCCTGGTTCAGGCTATCACCATTTTCTAGCCCAGACTGCTGCCATTGCTTCACTGTCACAAGTTGCCTAACCTATAACATGTAACTTGGTCTTCTTAGGTTATGTGATATGATCTAGGCAGGGCATCTGCTCTTGGTACCCTGTGGCCAGTGCCATAAATGTTGGTCTTTCAAAAGCCTTGCTGAGATAGCTCTCAGTCCTCATGTGTACAGCAGACAGGATCTTCACAGGAAGGGGAGAATGGTAACTGTGCCCTGTTGGGCTTGGCATCATTGCCAAGACAACAGGGGAGCAGGGAGGAGAGCAAGATGGGCAGCTGGCCTTGGCCCAGCCTTCCACCAGCTGTGTGGCCTCTGCCCTCATGACGCCCCACAGAGCACTGCTCCTTCATCTGTATAACGAGGATACGACCTGCTCACCCCTCACAGAACTGTCATCAGCTCAGGGTGGGAGGCAGCGTTGAGAATATAGTGGGGCAGTCTGTCAACAACAGTTGATTTTCTTTTTTTTTTTTTGAGTTGGAGTCTCACTCTGTCGCCCAGACTGGAGTGGCCGCTCCCAGCCACCGCAGCCTCGATCTGCTGGGCTCCGGCGATCCTTCCGCCTCAGCCTTCCGAGTAGCCGGAATTATAGGCGTGCACTACCATGCCTGGCTAATTTTTTTGATTTATTGTAGAGATGAGGTCTCACCTGCCCAGGCAGGTCTCGGACCCCCAGGCTCAGGCAATTCACTCACCTCAGCCTCCCAAAGGCGCGGGATTACAGGCTGAGCTACCAAGCCTGGCTAACAGTTGATTTTTACTGAGTTTACATTTTGTGATGGTAGCACTGTTTTCAAGTCCATTTTTGCCTTCTGGAGGCAGGGTGAAAACAAGCCGTGGGTAAAGTTAAGAAACTAGCAGTTTCAGCCTTAAGGTATCTTTTTGGGCCTCCAAATCCCTTTCCCATAGGTGGAAAGGTGGAACGATGCTCCCACCTCCTAGACTGTATGAACAGACCAGACCCCCTAACCTTCAACAGCCAGGTTCCTCTCAACCTGGTCTTCTGAAACAGGGTCAGGATCATCCTCTGGAGATTCAACACTGACCCTACTGAAGCACAAGTTAGACAATTAGCTTATTTTTATTTATTTATTTTTTCCAGGATTCAAAATTAGACCTGTAGCCTTTTCAAAATGGAGTTTCTATTAATGATTATAATGTGCTATTATTATGTTCTTTTTGTTTGTTTCTTATTAGCCAGACTGAGGTCTAGGCCAACTATTATGTACTAAATAAATCTTAAAACTATAGGGCATCCCCTTCCGGTCCCTCCCACTGTGGGAGCTTTTCTGTCCTCTCGATAAATCCTGCTTTCAGAAAAAAAATTATAGCCACCTGAAAAAAACATGACACATTTCAACGTTAAGTGCTAATGGTGACCAAAAGTCAACAGCAATCACAAAAAGAGAAAAATCTCATATCCGACTGCCTATAAACTTTTCTGAGAGCCAAACTCGTTTTACAACTTTCCTTTACAGATCACATTTTGCAAATAAACCTTACTTTCCAGTATTTCAGTGTGATTGTTTATCTAGTGTGACTTCCCATCACCTTTTAAAAAAGATAGAATTAACACACCATAATATTTAACACAATTTTTTTAAAGTCAGGGTCTCACTCTGTCACCCAGGCTGGAGTGCAATGGTGTGATCATAGCTCACTGCAGCCTCTAACTCCTGGGCTCAAGTGATCCTTCTACCTCAGTCTCCTGATTAGCTAGGATTACAGGTGTGTGCCACCATGCCTGGCTAATTTTTTTTAAAAAGTATTTATTTTTGTAGCTACATGGTCTTGCCATGTTGCCTAGGCTGGTCTTGAACTCTTGGCCTCAAGTGATCCTCTTGCCTCAGCCTCCCAAATTGCTGGGATTACAGGTGCGCCTGTTCTCACTCCTTTAAATAATTGTACAATTCAGCAGTTTTTAAGTATATATTTGTGCAACTATCGTCAGGATCTAATTCCAGGACACTTGCATTCCCCTCTCCCCCACGAAAATTCATATCCAAAAGCAGACACTCCCTATTCTTCTCTCTCCCCAGTCCCTGGCAACCAACCACTAATCTACTTTCTGTCTTAATGGATGTCTACTCTAGACATTTTATACAAAGGAATCATACAATATGTGGTCTTTTGTCCAGCTTCTTTCCCTCAGCATACTGTATACAAGATTAGTCTACCTTGTAACATGTATCAGTACTTCACTCATTTTTACAGCTGAATAATATCCCATTGGCATACACTACATTTTGCTTACCTATTTTCCTATTTTAAGTAAGGGTCTCACTTTGTCACCCAGGCTGGAGTGCAGTGCTATGATCAAATTTATCTGTTGATGGTCACTTGGTTTGTTTCGACCTTTTGGCTATTGTGAATAGTGCTGCTAGTAACACTGGTGTACAAGTATCTGGGTGAGCCCTTGTTTTCAATTATTTTGGGTACCTATCAAGGAGTGGAACTGGTAACTCTATGTTTAACTTTCTGAGGAGCTACCAAATGGATTTCCAAAGTGGTCGTGCCATTTTATATGTCTTTCAAGAGTATACGAGGGGAACCAAACAAAACCCGGAATTCATTTATGAAAAATTGTGTCTTTATTCTTACACGTTTAAACTTCAGTCGTCTTCAAATGACTCTCCATCTGATGCAATACACCTATCGAGATGCTTTTTCCACTGCTCAAAACAGTTTTTGAACTCATTGATTCTGATGCCTTTTAGTACTTCTGCCATTTTTCGTTTTGCCTTTTCCACATCAGCAAAATATTTTTCTTGGAGGACTTTTTTCATCCAGGGAAATAAAAACATGTTGCTTGGGGTGAGATCAGGTGAATGGGGAGGGTGAGGCATGAAGGCCATGCCGTTTATGGTCAAAAGCTGCTAAGCACTCAGCACAGTGTGGGCAGATGTGTTGTCATGGTGGAAGAACCAAACATCTGTTTGCCACAATTCAAGACATTTCTTCTGCAAATCATTACATAACCTTCTCAAAACATCCAGGTAAAAACTTTGGTTGAACGTTTGACTGGAAGAACAAGTTTGAGTATTACTACAAGAGACCCGCCCTCTAAGAGATAATTCCAGTTTTTTGGGGTACCCCCCTCATATGTGGGTTCTAATTTCTCCATATCATCACCAACACTATTACTGTCTTTTTTTTTTTTTTTTTATTACAGTCATTCTAGTGGGTGTAAAGTGGTCATTTCCCTATTGACTAATATATGCTGACTACTCTATTTCTTCTTTGGAGAAATGTCTATCCAAGTCCTTTGTCCATGTATTGGTTGCCTTATTTTTCTCTTCATTATTGGGTGGTAAGAGTTATTTATATATTTTAGATTCAAATCCCTTAGATAGCCAGCTGATTTTTACAAAGATATAAAAAGCGTTTCAATGGCAAGAGGATAGTTTTCAACAAAAGATATTAGAGCAGTCACACATTCACAAGGCATCAAAAGCACGTGCAACCTAAGCACAAGCAACCAAAGGGGGAAAAAACGGATACACTGGACTTCAGCCAATTTGAAAAAACTATGTTTTGCAAAAGACTCTGTTAGGATGAAAAGACTGGGAGAACATATTTGCAGACCTTTTTATTTTGCAGGCTTCTTATTTCTGAGTTCTAAGAGTTCTTTATATATTTTAGATACCAGATCCTTATCAGATATAAGACTTGCAAATTTTTTCTCCCTGTGGGTTGTCTTTTCATTTTCTGGACAATGTCCTTTGAAGCATAAACATTTTAAATTTTGATGAAATTTAATTTAACTTGTCTATTTTTTCTTTACTTGCTTGTGTTTTAGGTGTCATATCTAAGAATCTATTGCCTAATCTAAGGCTGCAACGATTTATACTGCCTAGGCTGGTCTCAAGTGATCCTCCCACTTCAGCCTCCTGAATAGCTGAGATTACAGGTGCACACCAAGGCAACTGTCTCACCGATATCTACTTCTAAGTGTTTTATAATATTAGTTGATGCATTTAGGTCTTAGATTAACTTATGAGTTAATCTTTGTATATGATGTGAGTTAAGAAGTCCAAATTCATTATTTTGCATGTAGATATCCAGTTGTGCCAGCACCACTGGTTGAAAAGAGTATTTTTTCCCCATTGAATTGTGATGGCACCTTTGTTGAAAAATCAA